CCACTGTCCCCTCTCTTTATCTAGACATTAGTGAATCCAGGACTTGCATATAATGAAGCAAGGGGAAGACTGCTCTGAGCTGGCAACTCTGCCTCTTACTTTGAAGCAAGTGCAAATCACTACAGAGTTAACCTTTCATTCTTCTTATTCCTCCCTCTTTTTTCTTTCCTCTCTTTATTTTTCTTCCTCTCCTTTCCTTCTGCCACCCAGAGTGGTAGCCAGATAAGATCATGTGCTTCTTTTGGGTTCGTGGGAGAGGCCCATTACATTACTGCCTTTCTCTGCCCTGATCACAGTGCAGTAGAAAAGGAAAAGGAACAGGACTGGCTGTTTTTCCAATGTTTCTTCAAACAGGAGCCTCATGAAACATAAAAGTAGTGACATGCACCACAAAAGAATGTCAAATGTCAAGGTGATGTGCATATTTTAGTTACTGTGACCTGTAGTCAGAAATTGAATGCCATCCATTCTGAATTATTGACTATCTAAAGTGCAATACCCCCCGCCACCTGGCAGTTCATCATACTGTAGTGGCTGCGTGTTGCTATGATGCTGGAAGCTATGCCAATGGTATGTCAAATTCCAGTAGGGTCACCCATGGGGAACAGGTTTCAGCACAGCTTCAAACTAAGACAGACTAAAAAGAAAAGGCTGGAGATCTTCTTCCAAAAATGAGCAAATGAAAACTCTATGGATCACAACAGAATATTGTCTGATATAGTGATGGAAAATGAGCCGCCTAGATTAGAAGGAACTCAAAATACACAGTGGCTGTAACAATAAACTGGAGTATACCAACAATTGTGAAGATGGCACAGGGCTGGACCACATTTTGTTATGTTGTGCATGGGGTCACCATGAGTTGGAGCCAACTCCATAGCAACTAACAACAACAACAACAAAGGTGCAACCAGATTGTATCATGGATTTAGGTGAAGGTGATCTGGGAAAAAGGAAGGAATGCCTCTAACTCCCAGCAGTCACAGGAGAGATCTCCCAGCACGTAATGAAAGCCTAGCCACAATGGCAGGACCCGGTGTTACACATTCTGTATAACCCCATCAAACCACAGAGATCCTTCTAGAGTAAAATGTACTGGGAATAACTAGGATTAATATGCTTTGAGCAATTAGGAAAATGAATCATGCATACCGGTGTGGTGGCTTTTATTATACAGTCCCATTACTGAAAACTCAAACAGTATGAAATTGCCTCAAATTTGAGGGAAATGTACCCAGTTCTGGTGAATAAGTAATTTTACTCAACTTTTATATGGACATATCTCTGAATAAACATTTTTTAGTGCACTAGAACTTTACTGCACTGAAACTTCCTCCTTGAAAACTCTAAATCCTCTGTTTCTGTGTATTCATGTTCAAACCCACTTTAAAATTAATTCTGTGATGTTCTCCCCTTACATGCTATCATACTCCAAAGAATGCCTGTCAATAATAAACCAGTTGCCTTCGAGTCCATTCTGACTCATAGCAACCCTGCAGGACAGAGCAGAACTTCCCCGTTGGGTTTCCAAGGAACAGCTGCTGGATTCGAACTGCCAACCTTTCGGTTAGCAGCCTGAGCTCTTAATCACTGCGTCACCAGGGCTCCCCTGTCAATAATAGTACTTGTAAAACCGAAAGACTGCAACAATAGTACAAACTTTTCTCAGTAGATACCAATGTTGAAAGGAAATCACCACCTTAAAGAAAAAAAGTCTGTATTTGAGTGTGTGTGTGTGTGTGTGTGTGTGTGTGTGTGAAAAGCCAGCATCTATCAACTCTGTCCTCAAATTCTGAGCATAGAGAGGGTCCTCTAGCTTAAACTTGTTGAATTCAAAAACCTCGACTGTAAATCAGTTGTGTAAAAAAGAACGGTGTTTCCCCTTGTTAACAATTAACCAGCAATAGTTAGGATCTCAGCTCAGCCCACAAAAACCTTTTTAAATTGTGGTCTGCCTAAAACAGTGCAGTAATAATACTGAAGGATCAACAGTTAAAGTGAAATTTCTAAGGGAAAAATGCATTCAGAGCTTCCTTTTGGGATGACAGGAACTCAAAAACCTCCCTTTCTGGCAATGACAGTAGGGACTCTCCTCACTCAAAGCAAGTCTGGGAATGGGGACCATGATATGACCTTTGGGGAGGAGGGTCTCTGTGTTGAAGATCAAGACTGGGAATGCTAACTGAGGGAAGTGAATACATTGCATGTTTACACTGGGAGTAAAAGCAAGGGAGGACGAAAGACGAAAGCCGGAGAAAGAACTGCAGGGAGCAAGAGGGATTTGGGGGCGGCAGGGAAGGTTGAAGTGCATGGACAGTTTCCCACCACCTCCTCCCATCTCCTTCCAAAACATCCTCTACTTCTTTCTTTTCACCCACTTTGGAAGGCTTTGTTGGGAAGGACTGAGAAGAAATATACAGAAGGATCTGTGCAATAAAATGAAAGAAAAAGGGAGAAGCAAAGAAACAAACTAGTTGCAACTGGAGTTGACTCCAACTCATGGCAACCCCATGTGTTTTAGAGTATAACTGTGCTCCACAGGGTTTTCAATGGTTGCAATCTTTTGGAAGCAGATAGCCAGGCCTTTCTTTCCAAACGATTCTGGGTGGCTTCAAACCACCAACTTTTCAGTTAAAAGCTGAGCGCTTAATCCATCACACCACTCATGGCTTCCTATCTGGAGAATAGGGGTGAGTTTTTCACATGTCAGATGTGCATTCATAAGTGACAGCCTAGTCTGTGTGGTTCGTGTGTAGGTTCAGAATAAAGAGAAAATAATGGCTACTATCCCTAAAGTCGAAGAACAATTAGCAAATTTAATTCATTAATGTCCTCATGAATGCTTCCATTGTTAAAGATAAACTTTTAAGGAAAAAAAGTGTGTTTGACAAATTTATTGCACATCTGTTGCACCGTGCCATACACAATGTCTTCATCAAAAACATTAGGACCCAGAAAAAATATATTTACTGTGCTCACATTTTTTAGAAATTCACACATTTCAAATGCCATTGCAAAAATCCAGTCACCAATTTCATGCAAGGTAGCCTACTTCAACCAGTTGTAATTCCTTCAAACCGTGTTGTATCCATTCACTAATTAGCCCTTTGTTACTAATTCACTAACCTGTCCTTTTTTATAACTTAACGTATAAACACAACCTAAAAGATTTATACCTTTGTCCGAAGTTATTAAGTCCATCACTTTTGTAAACAATTTGACACACACTGAAATTCAAAAATGCAAACAAGAATATTAACTATTTTAAATAGTGTCTAGGATAGAACCTCCTCCCACAAATAATTTGAATAATGAATTTAACCTCACATTCTTCAAATACTGCACAATTAGAAATTTTTCTTATGTGGTTTTGTTGTAGAGGGACCTATGTGGTCCTGCTGGGCATAAACGTGATGTAAGAGAAAGTGGTAAGAGTTTAGGCGAGTCCATCTGGGAAGCAGACAACAAATGAGAAAGACTATTTTTTCTGTTAGTCATGTCTTACTGACAGAGCACTCTCATTGAAACCACTAGTTTATGAGGGATTCAACTGGGGAGCATGGCAGTCTGGGCTGGTAAACAGAGTCCCGGTCTGGGTCTAACTATAATTTTCCTTCTGTCTCACTGGGACATTTAACTTTGTTTTTAATCATCATCCACACAATAAGGAATATGTCCTACAGATTACCTGAAAACTCCACTAGAGTTTCAGGAACTATGCGGGATGTAGGGTCCTGAACATCTATTTCACAAGACTCATTTCCAATCATTGTGCAAGTTTTTGCTGACTATGCTCAAGTGAACTTCAGTGCAAGTTAGAATGGAGGTGTCTTTTCCTGCGTGTCACCTAAAGTCCAACATGGCATCCTCATGTCTCCTTTGGAAGACTCAGGGGGCAGCCAAGATGATCCAGACTGTTTCAAAAACTGGGCTCGCAAAAGCAAGTTAGCACAGGGGATGTAGTTTTTGTAAAGATGTGGATAATGCTCAATATCTTTTTCCCCTTGACAGGGAAAATTTCTATGGATCGCAACCAGAGACCACATAGCTAGAAAATGGAACACTAAGAACATGCTGAGGTCTAATCCTATATATCTTAGGACATCTACTCAGTCTCTCCACTTCTGATACTGATCCAAGTAAATGGTGATCTTTACTTTAAAACGTATAATGTCCCATTTATATAAGCTAAAAAAACCCAAACAAACCAAACTCATTGCCGTTGAGCCAATTTCAAGTCATAGAGACCCTCTAGGGCAGAGTAGAACTGCCCCACAGGGTTTCCAAGGAGCAGCTGGTGGATTCAAACTGCCAACCTCTTGGTTAGCAGCCAAGTTCTTAACCACTGCACCACCAGGGCTCCTTATTTCCCTTGGAAATAAGTCTTGTAAAATAGATATTCAGGATACCACATTCCACGTAGCTTCTGAAACCCTGGTAGAATTTTCAGGTATTCTGTAGGACATATTCTTTAGTTTATATAAATTTATATATACACACACACACACATATATATACATATATATACGTATGTATGTATATATGTATTGTTGTTGTGTATATATGTGTGTGTATATATATCCCATTTATATAAATTAGGAGTCCCTGGGTGGTGCAAACAGTTAACGCACTCTACTGCTAACCAAAAGGTTGGAGGTTCAAGTCCACCCAGAAGAACCACAGAATAAAGGCCTGGCAATCTGCTTTGGAAAAATCAGCCATTGAAAATCCTGTAAAAACAGTTTTTCTCTGACTCACATAGGAGTCCCTGAGTAGCATGAACAGTTAAGCATTTGGCTGCTAACCAAAAAGTTGGCATTCAAATCTACCCAGAGGCACCTCGAAGAAATACACTTGACAGCAACTTTTTTTTATATAAACTAGAAAACTCATCTCTTAGGATTAGAATGGTATCCAAACCTCTAAGACACACCATAAGAAACAAAAAATTGGCACTGTTATTTATTTGAGCCTTCAAAATATTATTTACATTGCATTACCTCCGTATTCACAACTTCCATTGGTCTTTTCTTGGTTTCTCCTATGTCCAAGTAACTGGGGGGGGAGAAAAACAATAAGGGTTGTTTATATAGCTTTTGAGTCAGTTACATAAAATTTTTTTTGAAATTATTAAAAAGTAAAGCAAGTCATAGGAAATACTTATACCTAGAGTAAAAATCAATAGTTACTAATTAAAAGCAATTATAGTAGTAAGAACCGGTTTCAGCATCGCCGAGCAGAGCCAACACATGTCTATTTCAAACATCAAGGGAATCAAAGTCTTAGAAATACATACGTCTATTAGGGAATATTTTACCCCCATAATAGCTACACACTATACATACTATTTTTCTGATTCTTATATGAATTTGACATAAAGAGTGGTTTACATGTTAAGCTGCTTAACAGCCCCATTAATCACATACTTTAAGTCAATAAAATTAAGGAAGTGTTTTAGAGTAATAACTGGAAAAGGCTGGGAAATCTTTTTCCCTATGAAATCACTTTAATGACGCAGAAATCCTCAGTCATGTGAGATGGTTTAGGTATTGGTTTAGCTAAGAAACAGATGGGTAGACTAGTTAACCTCTGGAGACCCCTACTACTCCATTACTGTTTGTTACAGGTATTAACTGTGACATAACCACAACCTGAAAACTTTATATTTTATACTTCAGTCAACTTTAAGTTCATTACTGTGATCTGGTTCCAGTTTTATATGGTCCCTTGCACTGTGTTTCATTGCTTCATATATGGAAGGTATGAAATAAATATTTTAATAAATATAAATCTGGAAATTAATTTTAACATATGCATATCCATACAATATATAATCCTTTACCTCAACTACTATAATTGCCAAGTTGCCAAAAAAAAAGTTTATATTAGAATTAATTTTTGCTTTTGGCTTTGAAATGTGGTTTTGTTGTTGCTTGCTTTTTTGGATAGAATGTTTGAGCTAAATCAATACCTTTGGAAATTACTCATTTCCCCCACACCAATAGTATTTACAGGAGGCAGTACAAATACTCCCTCTGTCTTAGCAATAAAATGGCTCTTTTGTGAATCTGCAGAGACTGATTTCTGACTTAATACCAAAACATTCTAACTTCTATGTGCAAGGAAGTGACCTCAGAGCAACATGATTAATGTAGTAAAGTCAACTTCCAAAAAATGCATAACGGAACTTTTTGGGAAAATAACAATCTCTAGAATTCTATGCTATAAAATAAAGGTTTCATAGCTGCCTGAAGTATATTTACAGTTTCAAAAACATTAGAAAAATCTAGGCGAAAAGAATTCTAGCTGGAGGTTTATCATTTTCATTTGAAAAATGTTTTTTCCACTGTTATCTTCCCCGACATCATTTAGGGTCTCAATGAAAGCACACACATTACTCTCAATACCTTTTGGGCTTTCTTTTGTTCTGCTAATTGCTTCATTTGTTACATAAACTTACAAGCACTAAGCTTCAAATATATTTGGCCTTTAAATTCCCTTGGCTTCTATCGTTATAACCATAGATATACTACTTTAACACAAATAAAATAAACTATTCATCTATCAACACAGAAAGCTAACGACCACAGACACTGTTATAACAAACTTTGCTGTGAACTAACAGCAAAAGTAACCCTGCAAATCTCGTACATATGAAGGGTGAGTTCTCATATACACTGAAAGCCAAGACTGAAGTGCACTTTCTATTTGTCTTTGAGTTGGTGATGCCAAATAAACAAAGGAGAATATAAATTACCAAAGTGCTTCTACAATTTTCAGCTGTTAATAGATTCTGGATCAGATTTCTATTGCCATGAAAATGGTTTGATATGGAAAGTATTCAATGAAAAATAAAGTGTGTGATGAAAGCAATTGGACACAGAGATACCTTACATATAGGTAACACTTTTGCATTTACAAAACACACTCATATCCATAGCATTTACTTTTCACAACAAGCTTGTGAGGTAGGAATGATTCTGTTTCTTTTCTGTTAGGAAACTGATCAGCTGAGTCAAGTGACTTGCCCAAAGATACAGAGCTAATAAACAGCTTAGTCTCCAGTCTTCTAAGTTGTGAGTTTCTTTAAAGGACACAAGTTTAATTTAGTTCTTTTCTACTAAGGTAGAAAAGGCACCCTTAAGGGGAGGCTTCAGGGAAGGGAAAAATAAACCCAAAGGTATCCCTCATCTCCCATAAAAAGAATGTCTTGTGTAACAAAAGGCAGAACATTAGAACTCAATTTAAACAAACATAGGAAAAGAAGGATTTTAGGCAACTTTAGTGGTATTTGGAAAAATCTAGCTGATTAAAAATAATTCATAAGCATACAGTTTATGGTAAGGCTGTATTTTGCTACTCTAATGCCTGAGCTAAATATAATGTAATAAAATATTGTATTAAAAAACTATGGAATATGGAGTTATCACGTTTCAGTAATTCCACTGCTAGGTATCTACCCAAGAGAAATGAAAACATGTCCACACAAAAACTTGTACATGAATGTTCATAGCAGCATTCATTATTCCTAATAGCCAAAAAGTGAAACAACACATATATCCAACAAATGATGAATGGATAAACAAAATGTGGTATATCAATATCATGAAACACTATTTGGCAATAAAAAGAATGGCGTACCGATACACGCTACAACATGGATGAACCTTGAAAACATTGTGCTAAGTGAAAAAAAGCTAGCCAAAAAGACCACATATTGTATGATTCCATTTATGTGAAATGTCCAGAAGAGACAAATCTATAGAGACAGAAATAGATAAGTGGTTGCCTAGAGCTGGGGGGTGGGAGGAAATAGAATTATAACTACAAATTAGTACAGGATTCTTTTTGGGATGCTGAAAATGTTCTAAAATTAGATTGTGCTGATAGTTGCAGAACTCTGTGAATATACTAAAATGGGTAAATTTTATGCTATGTGAAATATATCTCAATAAAGTCGTGAAAAAATACAGGATATAAAATTCAACCTGTCCTTTAACGTCCATCGTTCTCAGAAACAATCTCTCTCAACTCTCACGTAACTTTAACTGTTTTTCTGATTACATTTATCCTTTTCTACTTGGCATTAAAATGATGGGTGTTTGTGTATTCTCTGTCCCGTTAGCTTGTAAGCTCCTCAGGACAAGGAGCCATGTCCTGTTCATAACCCACCCTTGCGCTTGAGGGTCTAACAGGTACCTGGAGACAGACATGTAGACACAGTAAGCGCAATCAAGTTTTCCAAGTACTATACCAGTTGTGAAAACATGCAGGCCTGGGAGAAAGCACCAAAAAGTGGGGCATGGTCAGTTCTCCATGGTTTTCTCCTCTCACGACAATATGTTATCTAATACTCTCAGTAAGAGTGATTTTTAAAAAATCTTTGCTTGAACTAAAAGATAATTTCAAAGAAAAGGGGGAAAAAGTGGAAAAAATCAAAGCAGAACACAATATGCTAAAGTATCAGATGTTCTTTTAAAGTATCCCTTGCATGAATACTTTAAGATTCGTGTTGTTTATACACAAATTCTAAGTCTGTTCCTACTGCTAGCCAAGTGAAATTCTTCTGCATTCACATTTTGAACCGCTACGCCCAACTGCAACTGGGCTTTGAGAGGCATCAAACCTTGCAGCACAGCCCTTCAGCTCATTGAGAGGGTGTGTGTTGCAGAAGGGCGTCATTCACTTCTCATCAAACACCTTAACGCACCCTGAAATTGTGGGCGGTGGGGGCAGACGAACTCACTTGAGTTTCTTGAAGGCTTCCTGGCCCCCGGCCACGTAGTTGCCCCCGCTCTGAATCTGGTCTAGCTTCCGGATGCGGTGGCCGGACCGCGGGGTGTAGATGTTCCTGACGGCCCCAAAGGGCGCCTGAACGCCACCCGTCACCTCCTTCAGGAAGACATCAAAGCTAGACACCTTCTTCTCATGGATGACGACGCGGCGCCCCGCGAAGAACGGGTCCCCGTTGCGGTACACCAGCACGCTCTTCACTACCGGCTGAGATAGGTGGTTGGACCTGGCGCTGGTGCCGCTCATCTTACCCGCTGGACGCCGCCGCGGCTCGCTGCTCCAAGGGAGGCACCTCTGCTGTCCCAACTGTCTCACCGCACACACAGCGCGGGATCGATTCCTAAAACTAATGGGCAAGAGACAAACCCAAAAGTAAGAGAGAAGTAACTGCCGTGCCCTGGAGTCCAGCCCGCTGAGACCCTGCAGACTGCAGGGCTCACGGTAGAAGTTCAAGTATTTCACCTTAGTCGGCACAACCAATCAGCGCTAACGATGCGCGTACGACACCTGTTACACTTGCTACGGGCAGAATCAAGGTGTATAACCTCAGGACAAGAGCCACGTGAGGGGCTTAAAACAGGCAGGCCGAGATAGGGAAGAAGGGACGGGGGAGGGGTGGCGAATTATAAATACGATGAAACCAACCCAATTTCTAACGTCATACTTGTGTTACTTTTTTCTTTTCTCTCCTTGCTTCCTTAACCCTCAATCTCTACTCTTTGAGCCCAGGTTAGAGCAATTAAGATCCTGGTTGGAATTGGTCAGTTTTTTTCTTTGCCGATTCAAAAAATAAATGCCTAAGGTGCAGTGAGAGACAGAGACGCGGACTCGACCTCTACACTCTCTCCCCCTCCCCGGATGACCGCCGCCGCGGGGTGGCGTAGCTCCCGAAGGCATCATTTGAACCCGGCGAGCAACGGCGCACACTGGGGTCCGGGGGAGGAGTACGGGGGGTGGGCAGGTGGTGGGGTCTCCGACGTGTCTGAGGGGGGGGTCTCCGGGGAGGCGCCCGCCGAGCTGGTACCTACCGACACTCAAGGACTAGTGGGGAGGAAGGTGGGGAGGGCACTTGCTGGGCTTGGCAGAGGGCGCCGCGCGGGTCACAGGGCTGGGGCGCCGCACTGCAGCTTGGCTGGCACCCGAGTGAACTCGGCGGCAGCCGCACCTCGCTCCGGCTGTTCCTCCGGCTGCCTTTACCTCTGCGGGCCTACTTCACCCCGCAGAAACGGAGTTGTTATTTCCCGCCGTTTCCATAGCAACTGCAGCAGCGCGCGGAGAGTCGAGTCCGTAGAGTAGGCCTGGCGCGCGCCTGCGTCCCTTGGACTTTGCTGGCTGCTTCAGGCAGAGGCGCAAAAGGAGTGAGAGGTTGGGGATGAAAAGGGAGCCTGGGTGGCACTATCTTTCGCTCATTCAGTTAACAGCCGCCTACTGTGTGTCAGGCTCTGTTCTAGGATTTGGGGATAGATCGATAGAAGAGGATAAGCTACAATGTTTAGAGTGCCTTCTATGTGCCTAGCTCGGCTGGGAAAAGGGTTTTTCACTGTCTTCAAGAAAGTTAATGAGCTAAAACATATCAACCATCATGAAGATGGTGCAGGACCAGGCAGCACTTCCAGTATTTCCCTCTGTTATACGTAGGGTCGCCATGAGCCAGCCAGCTGGAGAGCAACAACAAGGCTAAACAGCTAGCTGGTTGTTCAGTGCCCAAGAGCCCACATCCGTGCTGTTTGTGTGCGAATAGGTGGGTATATGGGGCTACATGGGGAAAGGAGCTTTGAGAATAATAAGAAATCAGTAAAGAAGTGTTCTGTCCATTCCAGTCTAGGACATACACATTGTGGGAACAGGAAAGTTCTCTAAAAAGAGATGAAATCTTCCAGCTCATCTCTGTCATTGTTCTCCTTATTCCTCCTAAGAGCTAGTTACCGTGTGTCATGTGCAAATTTTATTACAGGGTGTTCCTAACTCATACATGAATAAAAAATAATAATAACTACTATTAATTGAACACTTATGGACAGAGTATCATTATGTTAAGCACTTTACATAGATTATCTAATGTTCACAATAACCTTCAGAGGTAAATACTATTCTTTCCTCAGATGAGAAAACTGAGATGCAGAGAAACCAAAGAAATTTACCCCAGGTCACAATTCCAGAGCCTCCTTAACCACCATGTCATACCACATGAAAGGTAATACGTTGGACATTACAATCTTGTGCAGAAACATTTTTATTAAAGTCATTAAAACAATGTAATGTCTTGGAAGTTTTTCAAAAGAAGGCTGTTGAGAAGGGAAGAGAACAATACAGGGGGGAAATAGAAGAGGAAAATTTAGATTGAGGGAATAGATGTGGAAAATATCTGTGAATTAATTAAAAATAAATTAAGTTTAAAAATTAAGAAAAAAATGTTAAAAGATTTAGGAACGGCTCCTGTAGAGAAAGTGTATTTTCAGATCAACAAATAAGAAAGTACCTAACAACTAAAGAGACCATAAACAGAATTGCGTAGCTTCAGACAGAAAATACACAGCCACATGAAAGAAGGACACTACACCGGAAACCAGCTCTCTGACCTACACACTCTGCTAATGGGTTTCTGTGTTCTTTCCAAGCAATACGATTATATGTGTAAAGTGGCACATATTCTGTTAATTTCCCCTTAAAAAATGTTAACTTTACAAATGGTTTTTATATCTCAATTTCACAAAGAGTAAGGACTTCAGCTTCCTGAGAGATTGTTTCTTGGATACACACATGGATATGGTGACAGTTTCTAACAGGTCCTGAACACCTCTGAACAGATTAACTCAACTGGTGTTGGTAAGGCTAAATAAACTCTTCTTCATTTCCATGTAGTAGGTTCCCTACCTGAGTATGCTGTATTGCTGTTGTTGAGAGCTGTCAAGTCGATTCCGATTCATAATGACCCTATAGGACAGACTAGAACTGCCCCATAGGGTTTCCAAGGCTGTAATCTTGATGCAGAAGCAGATTGCCACATCTTTCTCCTGCAGAACAGCTGGTGGGTTCCAACAGCCAACCTTTCAGTTAGCAGCTGAGTGCTTAACCACTGTACCACCAGGCCTCCTTTCTGCTATATTAAAGGTACCTAATATTTCTCCACGGAGAAAGACATGGCAATCTGCTCCTGTGAAGATTATAGCCTAGAAAACCCTATGGGACATTCTACTCTGTCACCTGCAGTCACTGTGAGTCTAAAACACAAAAACAACAATATCGACTGTAAGCTAGACTACATCTCCTATACACAACTGATCAGGAAATCTTGTAGATTCTACCTGTTTAACATGTCTTAAATCCTTCCCTTTCTCACATTCTCACTTTCCTTATCTTGCTTCAGAGCTGTCTTGGTTATGTAATGTTGCTATAACAGAAATACCATAAGTGGATGGCTTCAACAAACAGAAGTTTATTCTCTCACAGTCTAGTAGGCTAGAAGTCCAAATTCAGGGCGTCACCTTCAGGGGAAGGCTTTCTCTCTCTGTTGGCTCTGGAGGAAGGTCCTTGTCATCAACCTTCCGCTGGTCGAGGAGCTTCTCAGTGCAAGGGTCCAAAGAACACTCTATTCTCCTGCCTCTTGTTTCTTGGTAGTGTGAGGTCCCCCGTCTCTCTGCTTGCTTCTCTTTTTTATATCTCAAAAGAGATTGGCTTAAGACACAATCCAATCTTTTAGATTAAGTCCTGCTTCATTTACATAACTGCCGATAATCCTGCCTTATTAACATCATAGAGGTAGGATTTACAACACGTAGGAAAATCACATCAGATGCTGAAATAGAGGACAATCACACAATATTGGGAATCATGGCCTAGCCAAGTTTATACACATTTGGGGGGGGGGGGCACAATTCAATCCATGGCAAGAGCTTAGTTAGGAATGCTTGTTCTGTAAATTGCCACGTATTTAAGGAGTTAAGAATAATGAAAAGTGATAGTTTACTTCTTTATTTATTCCCATTTAGTGTAAGAGAAGCCTAACGATGGAGAATGGCTTTTCCTTAGTATGCAACACACGGACAACAAGCACACCTTTATTTAGAGCAATCACATCTCCTGAAACAATAAATATTGAACCCTCTTTTTTGGATATTGCTTCCTGCCATAAAGTGAACTCCGAAGAAATCCATAGTACTTATCTTTAAATTCTGAATAAATCAAATACCTATCTCTTCCACTGAAAAACATATAATTTCACATGAAAATATTTCCACACAGAAAGAAACAATCTTTGATGGTTACGAGGGAGGGGAGGGGTGGGAAGGGAAAAATACTAACTAGATGGTAGATAAGTGGTAACTTGTGTGAAGGGTAACACAGTACACAATACTGGGGGAGTCAGTACAACTTGACCAGAGCAAAGTCATAGAAGCTTCACAGACACATCCAAATGCCCTGAGGGACCAAGTTACTGGGCTGAGGGATGGGGACCATGGTCTCAGAGGACATCTAGCTCAAGTAGCATAACATAGTCTATAAAGAAAATGTTCTACATCCGACTGTGGTGAGTAGTGACTAGGGTCTTAAAAGTCTTCGAGCGGCCATACATCTACTGGTCCTATCCTGAGCAAAGGAGAATTAAGAAAACCAAAGATACACAGGAAAGATTAGCCCAAAGGACTCATGGACCACAACTACCACAGCCTCCACCAGACTGAGCCCAGAACAACTAGATGGTGCCCGGTTACCACAACTGACTGCTCTGGCAGGGATCACAATAGAGGGTCCCAGACAGAGCAGAAGGAAAATGTAGAACAAAATTCAAATTAAAAAAAAAAAAACAGGCTTGCTGGTCTGACAGAGACTGGAAAAACCCCAAGAATATGGCCCCCAGACACCCTTTTAACTCAGTGCTAAAGTCACTCTTGAGGTTCACCCTTCAGCCAAAGATTAGACAAGTCTATAGGGCCAACAATAACACTTGTGAGGACTATGCTTCATATAAGGAAGATTGCTAGACACAAAATTAACATCCAAAGATCTATTGCATTTCTATACATTATCAGCAGTAAACAGAAAATAAAATTCTAGGAAGACATCCCATCTTGAGTCAGATTACTAAGTATATATTTTGAGAATTCTTTATTGGTTTTCACATGTATTTATGTAATGTACATAATATCCTCTTATTGTCTTCAGTATCTATAGCTCCTGTGGTTATATACCTTTATTTCCAATTTAATTTATCTTTTTTGTTATGAGAAAGCAAAAGACAAAAAATATCCAAGACATCCTTTAAAAAAAAAAATGAAAACGTGGTAATACGTGCCCCACAAGATATCAGGACTTAAAAAGCCATAATATTTAGGTATGGTTTTGCTGCAGGCCTAGACAACTGGACCAATAGAACAGAATAGAAAGCTAAGAAATAGACCTATATTGTATTTGGGCACCATATATGACACAGATAGCTGCATTACTGGGGGAAGGATGGACTATACAGTAAATGATGATGGGACAATGTGGGTCCCCATATGGGTAAAACGACATTGCATCCCT